ATCCTATTTACAAACACCATTAGAACAAATCATTCTATTCATTAAGAGAATGCAGTTATATATCTATCCCAACCACTTTGAATACACAAATACAAAATGGACATTCATCTGTATTCCCCATTTTTTCTAAGTTCTGTTATTGAATATTATAGGTGTGTAAACTCAGCAAAATATTCTATAAGAGTCCAGTGGCCCATAATAGCATTGGGTTCAATTATTATTTAACATTAAAAAATTATTAGGGGTCTGCCTGGCAAGTGCGAGGTCCCAAATTCAATCCCTGATAACCACTTTTCTTGAACCAAAACAAAAGGAACAATAATAATACGAGCCTTATGACCAAAGAGCTCAGCAGCATGTGTTTGTCCATGTATGATTAATCCTGCCACTCAGCATGATGAAAAAGAGTAATAGTTTTATGAGGGGCATGTGAAATATGTAACATTGTGAAGGACCTACAAACTGCCAAAAGACTCCAGAGTACATATATTGAATTGGGAAAATAATTAAAAGCATTGACAGAGAAGGGTCAACACTAGAGAGCAGAGCATTAGAAAACGCCAGATTAACTATCTAAGGCAGGTTTTAGCCTCTGGTATCACTGCTCTTGGAGAAGTTGGGGCCACCACTAGGCCTGCATTGTGAAGGGCATTACCGAAATGAATAAATATTTTCTGTAGGTTGGATGAGGATGCATGTGCTGGCTAAGGTATGCAGATGGATAGGCCTGTCATACTGACAGGAAGGCTGCAGCCACAAACTCTTGGCACAGGATGACTTTTTGCCATCGTGACAACACCATTGGAAGTGCAACATAGAGGTATGATTATTAAAAGAGGATAAGCTAAAATCAAAACATTATTTATCTTGATGGTGGAGAGGGACAGTTAAAAAAAAAACAGTCTTTTAAATCAGTTACTATAAGAGAAAAATGTAAAGGTAGAATTACAATACTGGGCAATCCCAGTTGCAGTGCTCCCATAACTTCCATGGTGTGACTGACTGCCCAAAGTTATATAATAATATCTATCTTCCTAGCCTTTTCTGATTATAGAAATTGGGGTACTCTGAGGACTATTGGAGTATTCTAGGTGCCCTGCCACCATCTTTTCATTCACCAGTGTATGAGCTGCTGTAAGCTTCTCCTGTGAGGAGCTACTGACCAACCAGTACAGGGTTATCAAACATTAAAATGATCTTAGACACCATTCATGGGGTCAGAGAATGGATCGAATCACCTCCTGATAATGAGAGCATGAGTAGAAGTATGGAGCGGCTGAAGCTGGAGGGAGGTTGGTTGTTCATGTTAGGGCAGGTCAGGGCCAGATTACTGAAGCAGTCAAGTTACCTCGGTCTTGAAGAGGACATCCTGCCTGCACAGCTTCAGTCATTAGTCACTTTTGTCTTGTGATACTAACCTTGCAAATGTATAAATAAACACAAACACACCTACCATTGTTCATTTCTTCTAATGTCAGGAAATACAGGATCGCCACCTGACCGGCTATTTTCTCTTGCCTATCTTTTCCTCATTTCTGCCACTGTTTGCAGAGGTCCTTTGGTCTCTCAGTGTGATCCATTGTACCCCAGGGGGCAAATGGTGGCAGGAATGAGGAAAAGACAGACAGGAAGACAAGAACTAGGTCAGGTAGTGCCCCATCAGGCTGGTTGATGAAGCCATCCCCAGCACAATACTAGTGGTGTTTATTGATACCTTTGCAATGTTAGTAACGTGTGACACAAGATTGCCTAGTGACTAATAGCTGACATTAACCAGGCAGGAAGCTTTTCTCAGGACTGAGGTAGCTTGACTGCTTTAGGCACCTGATGAACAGATGGTGGATTTTCACACATTTAAACAATCTCCAGCTTCTGTGGCTCCAAACATGTCCCCCTTTTTTGTTTTGTTTTGTGGGTGATGAGTATTCCACTGTAGTTGGAAAAGCTGTTTGGAAAACTCTTTACAAGACCTTTGCATACATGCCAGCCCAAAGGCTTTTGGTGCTTGAATTCACCAATGTAATCTTATACAGAGCAATAGTCCATAACAGAAGTGGGTTATCAGTGCAGGTGGCAATTGTCACAAGTTGTTAGTAACTTGAGCATTTTAAAGCTTAAGATATTATTGTGGCATTACATTTCCAATCTCATGGTTGCACTTTTCTCCTGGATTGTTAAGACCAAGTTCAATCAAGACCTGTATCAAGAGGCCCAGCATGTGAGTGAGACCGTCTGCCCTGCTCTCAGGATCCCTCCAGACCCAGCCTAGACCCGGCATGTATGTGGGAGAGTTTCTGCTCCTCTGCTCGCTGGACCCCTTTGGACACAACCCAGGCCCAACAAGTGTGTGTGTGAGAACTTCAGCTCCACTGTGCCCACCAGATCCCTTGGGACCCAGCCCAGGCCTGGCATACAGGCCTTGTGTGCAGCTCTGCAGCTGAAGTCCCTGCAGAGAGGCTAGGGCCAGAACCACCCAGATAATGCAAGAGCAGAACACCTTCCCGTGGGGGGCACAGGGGGTTAACTTCTACAGGCTACAGCAGAAAGAAGCTGAGCACAACAGCCAAAACCAAGCCAGGCACATTGGGATGAATTCAAACTTCATAGATCCGCACCCAGTAAGCTGAGGCACTTTGCTAAACCCAGATCTATAAGAACATCCTTCCTCTTTCTCTCTTAACTGAGAGAGGGGGCAAAAGGTAACAGGGTGATCTAGTCTGACTAGAGGACACCAGGTACATCAAGGGAAGTTATCAGACAGAACTTAGGGGAAATAACTTAAATAAAATTCCTGATTTAATATCTGCTTAGCTGCACAAACATATTGCTTGCTCTTACTGTCTAAAATACAAGCCCATTAGTTACAAAAGTTTGTCAACTGCTAAATATCACTACCCATTGTTAGTGTTCCTCATTATAGTTCTGTAAATATAGAACTAAAATTGCCTTAACCATATAATCTCTCTTGGGGAAGAATTTCAGTATGTGCTAAGGTTATAACTATACCAAAGCTCTACATGAAAGGTCAGAGGACAGTGCTATACAAAATGACAAAGAGAAAAGAGCAAAATGCAATCTCAAGTTGCAAGCCCACCTAGAACAAATGCAGGAGACATTAGCACAGAAGAAACTGGGAAGCACACAGCTGAAATGTCTGGATTAACTGAGGCTGAAATAAAAACAACTGCAGAAAGGTATATAGGAAAATAAAAATCATGTATGAATATGTAAAAAAATAAATTAAAAAATAAATAAAAAAGAGAAAAAAAGGTATATAGGAAATCAAATCAGAAATAACCACTGAAATAAGAAAT